TTTGTCAATTGATGTCCCAAATCTGGTTTCCCTAGCTTCTTTAATATTTATCACTATAATTCAGACCAACATTTTTTAGAGGGTTGTGCGAAAAGCGAGTTGTATTCAGATGGAATTTCAATGTAATGTGTGAATACTTTTGATTTACAATATTGTCGAGTCAACATCGCAGCTCGTCATGGCAAATTTCAGAATTTAATCTCACATTTTCACGTTCATTCTTTCCTCTTAAACCCCCAACCTTCGTAGCTCAGCTTATTAAACGTATTTTTCTCTATCACATAGATCAACCCTATGTACAGTTAGCTTCACAGCAACTAGTCACCCGTATCTGATATTTTTTTCCATATGATTACATCAGTGTTATTTATAGCCCTTGGAATCCCAGCATGCTTAGCGACCCAAGAGTCCTCGGAAATTATCTTCTTGAATTAAGCCCACCATGAATATTTTATTGCACATTATTTTAGGTGTATCATGACTAATCGATGACGTACAAAATTGTTATTTCATTATTGTTATTAATTGCAGGAAAAATAAATGATTGCGTTCGGTCAATTGCATCGTACGTTCTGAGTTTCATTAAATAACTTCAGTTTGCACGTATTCGTCTCAGAAATCCACCGTATCGCCACCGGGAAAAGGAAGGGGGGGTAATGAAGTTGTTGGATGAACATATCTTATAATATTTTGAAAGTTTATTGTAACATGGCGTTGTACCTTGTACTTCAATTCCTAAATAGTTTTCTATTTTTGTAATTTACATTTTTTTTTCAAATAAATTTGACCACAAATCACACTTTTCAAGAAATCTTCAAGTGGTAGAATTTAAATACTAGTAGTGGCCTCTCTCTTCCAACTTGTGTCAGAATGCCATTGAATATAAAGAAATATGGATGCCTTCGATTTTAAATCGAATTTACACTGACAACTTAAACATTTACGGCACACACGGCCCGCATACAACCATACACCTCTTTTCCAGGGTCGAATACAACTAGGAATACAATACACTGTCAAATGAATATTTGTTTTATCCTAACCTCACTTATCGATACACGGTCAAACTAATGTCTCTGTTTATACATGTGTATAACAGATTTGAATTTAAAAGATAAATAAAAAAACGTATGTACACCAAATTCTTGCTACTAAAATGAGGTCCCACTTGCACTGTATATGTCTGTGAACAAATTCCTTCTTAATTAGAAAAAAACACAATTATGTCATTATAATGATTCGTATTGCGTGGGAATTAATGACATCATGCCGTTCCATAATTCAAAATATGGGTATACTGAGACCGATGCATCATGGGAATACCAACGTCTTATACATACACTCGAGACCCAGATATAATTTTTAATTTCGCCATTCAGCCGCGATGCTGCTTCAAATTTACGGCGATACAATTACGTGCCATTACTGTGTTCGCTCAACGATCGACGAGATGATACTGGCCGAATGTAACTTGTTTTAAGAGGTATTTTTAAACGATCGGTCCTCGTGAATAAAATATGGCAAAACTTCTCTCATATTGGTACTTTCATACCCACGGTTTTTAAAACATGCCAAAACGTGCATGCATCGGCATTCATTATGCTTTTGTTGTTGTATTTAATGTACTAGTAGTTTGTATTGATATATTAGCAAATTACATAACTCGGATTTAAAATATATTATTGTTTTTTGTTTTATCGTGATGCCATATAAATGAAAGGAGCAGACAGGGGATATTACACAGCATAATCACGTCGCGGCGCAGTCGTTGACTTAGTGCAGGTTTTCATAGGCACAGTGAACCGTACTCATGGACTCGGAATACGCTAACAAATGTGGAAATCAAGTTTTAAAGCGCGGTGGTCGTCGCGCAGCGCGTGTTTGAATTCCATGTAAATAAACAATGCATTTTACACGCGTTGTATACGTCGCTATGAGTCCCATATCGAACAGGACGCGGCGCAACGACTGCCGCCCTTTAAGGTTGATCAACGTAGTTTCATGAAGGTGTTAATTGCTGGTACATGTATTTTGGAAATAGATTGTTGTGAAAAGGTCATTTATGAAAACAAAAAAATCGAATTTTTGAAATTTGAACATGTTATTACTTTGCGCTGACTGTGAAGTACAAAATACTTTATAGAGAAAGGGGAAGGCACGACCTGTTCAATTGCGAACATATTTACCTTTTTTTGCAATTTGGGAAAATAGATCAATGTGTCAGAAATTAGTTTTAAGAATGACAAAAATCTAGCTCTGGACCTACTTTGTAAATATGTTGCCGTTTCAATAGTTTGTGATTAAACGTGTTTATTACATAAAGATAAAAATACTGAAAAAAATATTTTATTCACAAATGCCTGACGATTTTTTTGTCCACACTTTCTCAATTCGCAGAAACACAGAAACTGTCGAGAATGCATTCTCAGAAACAGATATAATTTAAGGCACTTGGACCGAATTCAAAGTTTACTCAACTGAGCATGTTACTCAGGCTACGCATATATGCAAGTATATTATGTGAGAAAATGTTGTGTATAATAGAAATATATTATCACACTAGAAACCTATTATAATTATTAAATGTCAAATGTTTTAATATATAAAATCGTGACCTTATTTTTTTCATTTCCGGCGGCATAAACCCATTATTATAAATGAAAGTACAATGTCACAGAATTATCAATACAGCCCGAACTTTCTTAAATGTGTGAAAATTTAGTATAAAATACAATCAATCAATAAATCATAGAAAACGTGCTGTATTTGTAATATTCCTACTCTTCGATCACGAAGACGTGTATTTTACATTGTTTGCATAAATGTTAAAATAATATTCACGTCAACTCAAGTGTTACATAATTTCCCTGAAGGTAAAGTGAAAAGAAAGAACGCAGCTGAAGATCGATAAATTGATTAAACGAATGAATGATTGCATGATAGTTAATTCAAAGTAAACAGTTTCAACAATATTGTAGCGTTTCCTATTCGAAAGTTGGTGGCTGGAGGTATTTGCAAATTATTTTGTCCACAGTAGAAGAGACGATATTTTTGTTTTTACTTTCTATCCCATTCTTATACTATATTATGGACTCGTCGTGTAGTATTTTAGTTTGTTATCTTTCCACCCACAATAACTCCCCCAAGCCCCCTCCCGTTCTCGGATGTATAACCCATTAGGTATTAGCGCGTGCACATTTACTCTTATATGTGAACTAGTCATACACAGACGCTTTTAGTGTCCGTGGTTTCAACACGAGCAGATTACACTGAGATTAGGTCACCATTATCTCCGCATCAATAAACACAAATGGATTACCTCGATCCAGTCTGGCAAAATACTTAGTATCACGTATCACCTCGATTCACTGAACGTAATACGATTACGAACTATCGATACAAGGGTTGATTATTAGCTGTTTTCCAAAAAAAAAAAAAAAGGCAAATTTCTAAACAAAAACGGAAATATTGCTCTTTTCACCAAAAATGTTTTTTTTTCTCGTCTTTTTACAGACCGAAATCTCCGATTGGCTAGGTTACACACCTGGTCAAGTAAAACGAACCAACATTTACAATCTGAATACATCACTAACATGATGTTGCTCTCTGTATTCGATATGATTTATTTCCAACATGATATCCATATGTATTTATTAATTATATTATCATTATATAATCATATTAGTTAGTAGATAGGTTCCTAGTGTAATTATTTAATACTTGAACTACACATGGAAATTATATCTTTTTAAAAAAATATAATTTAATGTTTTTTGTTTTCGCTTACTAAATTATATACCCCCATTGAATGCATGTTTTTGGCATTAAAACGGGATGGAACCAATGGTGACTCCTCTATCGCAAAAAAGCTGATATTAGAACTTACGCATGATTAAAACGAGAAGCCATCATACACGTAATTACTAGACCGAGGCATACGTGTGACATCGTGTCCACTCGGGGTTTTCTCCGGGGATGGGTAAGCCAACACGGGAAATTTTGCCAAAAAGTAGATCTCATCTCGTGGACTCATCATGTTTTCCAGCAACTTTGGGGGACGTATTCGTACAAATTCGGGGTAAAAAAATCCTGATTCAGAATTGCAGTACAGCTTCTGACTCCCGGGAATTTAACCCGCTTGTTAAGGAAAATGTAAAATCCCTATCTTTTACTCCGGCTTGGCGGAACTAGAGACACGGTAATTTACACACAGCAGAAGCAAACATTTCACTCTCCATCGCACACATGCGCAACCCTGTGCTTACGACTAACAAAACTCGTTACCAAAATTTAACTCAAATTTGAAACATAATGAAGTTGTTCTCACACGTTGTGGCGATATCATGTCTACTATTTTATCCGAACCTTACAAATGACGTATACAGGCAGTATGGTCGGTTGCTCAATATGTTAATGTTTCATCAGCTGGATAGAGAAATTGTGACGAACTGTGCTTTTACGTGTAAGAATGTCAAGATCTACCACGTCCCTCGCGCATTTACAGTGACGGTTACTGATGGACAAGAATGTATAATTAAATTTTGTAATAAAAAACTCTTAAACCAATAAATTTAAAAAAAAGATGTGTTACCCATTCAATTTGACTGTCAGAAATCACAGTTAATTGACGACATTCTCCGTAACATCGATTACTTTAATATTGGGGCAGAATAAACCGATTGCAATTTCGCGGGAAAATGATGTCACAGTGTGACTGCTGCCATGGATTTCTTCGCGGGGGGTATGATGCTAGGCAGGTGTGATACGATTTCCAAATCCGCGGGATTATAATACTAATTATCATACTGTGCTGGTGTAAAACGAGGCTAGTCCGCGATTTTTAACACCTTGCGTCATTCAAAAATTTAAATAAATCATATTACTAATATATTATAAAACTAGAAAATAAAATAGGTTTATTTGAGCTATTTAAATCAACTTTGCGTAAGGATATTTGTGACCTCGGAAGAGGGCTATGAGGCTACACTCGGAAAGAGAATCAAGATGGCGGATTCACAGACTTTAGGAAACAGTTTGACAGCAATGGACTGGCTGCCACAACTAAGCGTTGGCGGTGCCATGGCCAACAGTCAACCAGGCAGTAAAGTACACCAACTTTCAAACAATTTGCTTAATCAGAAACGAGGGCTCCTTCCTTCACGGAACCCGCCGGGATCGCCACTCGACCCGACAGCGACGTTGGATCAGAACGAAGCTCAGCAACATAAGGACGGAAAACCACCGTACTCGTATGCGAATTTGATAACATTTGCTATCAACAGCTCTCCAAAAAAGAAAATGACACTCAGCGAGATATATCAGTGGATCTGCGAAAATTTTCCGTTTTACCGAGAAGCTGGCAATGGCTGGAAGGTGAGTAAATGTGAATGTAAATAATACGAGGGAGGCGTTGTGTGCTACTGTACTGCTCTATGTCTAATACAAGCCATTGAAATTCCGATGACCGTGGCAAAACACAAACCAATGTTATTGTACCACTTCCGTGGATTTCCCAGTTTTCTCGCAGTTTATCGCTAATGACAGCGATGTAATTAATATATTTGTTTCATTCCTTTACAGAATTCTATCAGGCACAACTTGTCACTCAACAAGTGTTTTTTGAAAGTCCCGAGATCGAAGGACGACCCCGGCAAGGTAAGAAGACCCGTTTTCGCATGTTCTTTATTTTCTTTCGTTTTCATGTTGACATGCCAAAAATTGAACTCGCGTTTTCTCCACAACTTTACCGTATTTCACAACTGTTGCGCAATACTAAATTCAAAACGTGTTTGCGAAATGTTTCACTAAAAAAAATAATAAAAAAATAAAAAAAAAACACCCCAAAACCAAACGTTTTTGAGTAGGTGTCGTGGAATTCCGGAGATTACCCACAATTACGTATAGTACTTGTGACGTTTTCACATAGGGTATGGCGCACTGCCAATGCAGTGTTTCCGCTAGCAGGTGTGTACGTCAGCAGTCTTAACAATTCACTCACGGTTAATAACAACTCGTGCGAAGCTATTATTGTCATCAGATTTTGGACAGTTCTCGGCAACAGGTAGAAATAATTACCCAAAACATGATATTTTTAGAGATTTGAGCCAAGGTATTGGGTTCATTTACAATACTGGAGTCCTGCTTGCTCTTGATACAAAACCACTTCATTACATGTGGGTTATTGTCGTAGCTCAAACTTTTGTCGTGCTAGATCAGAGAAAAGGAAATTGTTGAGATGCAAATAATGTTGAAAAATTTAAATTTGAAAATTTGCTAAAATTAATCTTCATTTTAACAACCACAGTTGAATTATAGTCTATTGTTGCTTGTGGTATTGTTTACTTCTTTGGTTTATTTTGCTTTTAAAAGGTTTATAATATTTGACCTATAATTTCCAGGCATCGTTAATGTATTATATACGACACTTCCAAGCTTGTAGAATGGAGTCATCAACTTTAGAGCAAGCATCGCTAAAAAAAAAATGATTTTTTTTGCGTCATATACATAAACACATTTCTTATGAGGAGTATCAGATGAAAACAAATTGTATACTGTCTTAACTGAGCTAATACAGAATTAGCCAATTATCAAAGCGTCTGTAAAATTTTTTTTTTCTGCAGCAATCGGACATGTGATCTTTCAATTGCTCTTAAAAAAAAAGTTTGGAGAAACAACTATGACATTTAGTGTAAGAAATGCTTGGCACAAATATATAAAAAAAAAGCAAAAAATTTAAATTTACTATTCATATAATATTGTATCAAAAACTTCATATATTATACTGATTTTGGCTAAGAGGTTTTCAGGGGCTGGCTTACTTTTTGTGCCAGCTTAAAACTTTAAATATACAGATATCAAAACAAAGGACGTTTATTATGGCAATTATAAATTATGCAATATATTCATAATTATCATTCATAGTGAACTTTGTCTGGTCACGATAACACACAAGTTTCTGCATTTTGGCTTTGATAGCTGCATGATAGGAATCTAATTTTCTTTCTATTGCATATAGATTGGATATTTCTGTTCAAATCATTTCCTTTATTTATGCACTACGAGATTCCAAGGCTTAAAAACAGTAGAATTTATTGGCCTTTTAGCAGTCTCAGCTGTTCTGTACATCTGTAAATTTGTATTTTTCGTGAAATGTGCAAAAAATTTGTGCCTTGTTCATTTCAAGGGAATTCAAAAAGGTCAAATTGAGGTCGCCACATTGCATACATATAATATTTCTGATGCTATTTTCTATGGCCGAAGGGTGAATGGATTAATATTCCCCCCTAGTGTCCCCGTCAATTAATTCTGTAATTCACCAATGGATAAAAGAGAAAAATATAACATTCTAAGGTTATTTTCTGGAGGCGCAACGCTCTTGTACATCTGGTTTATGATCGGATACATGGAAGCATGGTTACTATGCTTATTGGTTTCAAGGTTGCTCATTAGTGGCAGTCCTGGCTAGGGGCTAGATTATCATGCAAGAAATGATCAAAATAATTGACTGGATGAATATTAGCAGGCAAAGTTGATAAGTAGTCTCTGCTTGAAAGTATGAGAGACCCATTTTATCTGCCAGCTTGAAATTGGTGACTTATTAAGAATTTTAATTCCAGTAGAAAAGAAGACAAATGCAATGTGCACACAACAGACACAATATAAATTACTTCCTGCTCAAGGTGCCCTGTGAAGGCTATTTACAGTGTATCCATAACTTAATAATATACTGTCTGGTATTGTAACTTCCCATGCATAATTCACTTATTGCACAATGTATTTTCTTCTTCAAGTTGGATTACACGTATTTCTTGTATATTTTTTTGGACGTTCTTGATCTAATTTGTGTGTTGATAGGATATACCCTGAACAGATGGTAGCATTCATGAGAAAGTGACTTTTTTTTTTTTGGCGACTAGAAATGATGATCAGTTTCTGTTGATCCACTTTGTTTTTCTCTAGTTTAGGTTTCATCTCGTTTTCTTTGTCGTTATTGCAGAATTGAAATGCTTTAATTGTTTTGTCAATTTGTATCAAACAGGTGTCAAGGTCTTAATCTCTCTGCCTACCTTTCACTTTTGAATATCACTGTATACATTTCTTTCTATTATTTTTTATGTGCGTGTCAAAAGCAAAATTTGGATCAGCGATGCATGCCAGGACTAATAGCTAGTAAATAAATCTATGTACATTATTAATTTGATTTCTTACAATTATAATTATTTCATGCACGAAATAGCTACACTTGGATAGAGGTTTATTAATAAAAGAAATGTACCAATTACTTTCAATCTAATATTATTAAAATGTGGGCAGCAGTATACGTTACATCTGCAAATTAACAACCTTTATGCAAATTCCAGTTTTCATGATTTGCAAAAATTTAGAGCCTTACAAAAATATTATATTTCATCTTCGTTATGCTTTTGTTATTTAGGGGTGTATGCTGTCAGAATACCCAAAATGAAAAACAAAAATTGGGGTCTCTGGATTCTGAAATGCCATGGAAAATGATAAAAATTTACATTTTTGCAATTGTTTCTATATTAATTTTCATGTCTCAATGGCATTCTTGGTCTCCATGAATTTTGAACTCTGTGTATATTACTGTATGGAAAGTAATTTTGTAATATTTTATTTTATTCATATCATATGAGAAATATGTTACTTCATTTGTAACATTGATCACCGCAAAAGATTGGCCATTCCATCACCGAGGGGATCTTTTGGTGACGAAAAAACAAATAAATCCTGATAAAAAGTGTAGATCGAACTATGAGGAAGCCATTATGTACTGACGCCAGGCGTGGGCATGAAATCAGTTGTAAAATAATGTTGAGAAAAAAAATTGTCAAATCATCACGTTCTGGTGATCTTCTGAAATATCAACACTGATCCAAAATATTGACCAATGCAATGATTAAGATAAACACTGGACCTGATTGAAAACTTGCGTAAATGCATAAATAAACTTTTTTAGCTCCGCTGTCGACTTTGTCCAATTGCTTTGATATTATATATATAGATACTACATATGGACCACTCTCAAATTTGTTCATTTCATGATGATATCTTCAATTCTCTAATTTTGATGAATATTTTTGTCCTTTTTGGTAAAAAGTGATATTTTCTTCTTGTTAAAAACCACAATCATTTATGGTAAAAAATGATATTTTTGAACTCTTGTTGAAAACAGCAAGTCCCATTGCATTGATACTATGCATATTGCTCATTTTCAAATGATATTTTTTGTTCTTTAATTGAAATGTGCATTGCTAACAGCGGAGCTATCTCAGCCGAGAGGCTGCTTGTTTTACAACTTGGAGTTTTATCAAATGATGTACAACTTTCAGCCCATGTTACCAAACCAAATTTCTAGATCTGAAATAATTACACCATGGAAATCAGTGCAAAACAAAATGACTGTATCATTTTCCCTTTTACTCCATGTGAAATGTATTCATAATTATGACTGCAATAAACTCAGACATTTTGACAAGTCACGATTATCAGCTTACTTAATTCGAAAATTATTCCAAACTCTAAAATTTAAAAATTTTGTTTTGTCGCTATTTTACAATTACAGAATCGGAAATAATTTATTAAATGGAAGTATAGTCAAGTATTCAGAACAACATTCTGTTTTAATGCAATCAATTAAATTTTAGTTCCAAAGCCAGCCCTCCGGCTAGTACTACCGATAGTATATCCAGACTTACAGTTCTGTACCACCATGAAGGTCTCAGTAGACTGGACTAAACTTGTTACTGATGTCTATGAAGATTAATTTATAATTATTTGTAATATTTGTATATCACTTGACCACTTGAGGGGGGGAGGGGACTTTTAAGCTTGGCAGTATGACATCATATGCTAAGTAACCATTCATATGTAAATTAGCAACTACGCTGAGGTATGGAATCAATGACTTCATTTTTTGTTAACGATTGAGTGTATTATTTGGATGCATATTAAATGACAAATATTGGAAAATGTGGAAATGAATATTACAGAAAATGGCTGCTTTGTTTGGGAGGTTATACACCAGGTGTAGGAAGTGCAGTAACCTTCAAGGCAATAATAAGAAACACCAACACCCTCTTCCTGTCTATTCTTTTATTTTCATGATAACCTTGTAACTATTCCTAGTATATTTTTTCTCTTAAATGTGTTGTGTCTGTTGATATTCAGTTTGAAGAGCTCAGTATCCTCACTCGGTCTCAAACATACAATAGCTATTGTTCTTTCGACTACTGTTCGTTCTCTGACGTCATACTTGACTGTCTGAATGGATCTGTATGTGTACATATGTAGAAAACTGTAACCCCACTGTAACAATGTGGTTGGTGTAATTGGCGCTTGTAAAAATGTATTGAAGTGGGTTGTATTCATGAACGTCATCGATTTTGCTGTAATAAATTTAGACACGGTCTGAGTCATTCTTTCTTAGTGCGTCAACACCGATCACCAGATACATACAAGGCTTTTATTCTTTTTTTTTGTCTTCATTGATGACGAAATAAAGTTATTTATAGTTTCACTTTAGTGCCTGCTATATGCATGAGACCGCCTGTAACCCGACACTGAAATGTTTTTATAGTCACTGCCTGGCAACGTACAGCGGTAGATTTGAACCCAGACATGGTATACATAGCAAA